AAATATTTCCATATCACATTAAGGTTGTTGTGGCTATTGTAAAATATTGTTTACGTTCATCACCACTGCAAAATTACAGCAGTTATTAGACCTTCTGCTAGATTTATAGCACAACAAAAATACTCACAGCGCTATTTCCAATGCATGTGGCCTTCCATCCCCCGTAATTTCCACTAGGGTCACTCTGATAGAGCTGAAAGCCATAGTGCTTATCCCAGCCAATGTACAGCAATGAAACACCAAAGGGACGTTTTCCTTTAACAAAGAAAAAAAGCCAAATATATCAATAATCTAAATTTAGTATCACTATAGTTACTTGAGCTCAGTGAATGTAGCTAAACCCTTCTCTGTGAACTTAAGCATTCATAAACTGTTTTGTATTCTGGTTACCATAGATAAGCTCTATTAAAAATTCCACTTCTGTTTCTATGATTTGGATACCGCCAGGAGAGGGAAGAGACAAGAGGACCAGGGCTGAATTTCATTATTATGGAAATAGCAGTTAGCTTCCAGATTTGAAAATGTTATCTTGGACTTTACCTATCTTGTTAACAAAACTATGGTAATTTCAGGTTCACTCATGAAATAAGAATGCAGGAATTTCCAGTGTTCTACACCACTGTAAGATTAATATAGTTAACTGTAACATGTTAGTTTCGAATAGCCGGAAGGGTATGGAAGGCTCCCAACAGAGCGAAGTGTTTGAGATGATGAATGTGCCGATTATCCTGATCTGATCATTGTATGTACTGAAACATTATGTACCCTATGAATATATACAGTTGTTATTTGCCAATTTAAATAATATAATTTAAAACAAAAGGGTCTATTTTTCAATATTTTACTACTTCAAAAATGTTATAAGTCATAAAATGTCTTAACTTTTTGGAATAAAATTTTCAAAAAAATTAAGCACCTCCAAATTGTGTATAAGCTTGTTTGATGTCACACAGTGCTGTAACCAATTGCTCACAAGGTACTGGCTCCTGAAACTGTAATAAATACCTAGGATAAAGAGATCGGCACATTAGTTTTCTCTAAAACACAGACAGACTCTAAGGTAAATACTCTCTGAAAAGCAATCTATGCCATAGGGACAACCTAACAGTTGTTAGTAATTTGGAGGGGAGGGAACAAGTCAACATCCGAATATTCTCATAGGAAATAACGTTTTGTTAAGTTTGGTTTAAAAAAATCTGTAATTTTCAATTAAAATATTTTAATGACTTTGCAAAAGTGAGCTCTCCTTAGAAACAGCAAAACTGATTTATCATCAGTTATGCTATTTATGACCATATCTTTGAGCAATGAGCCTTAGTTCATTAGTCAGAACATTAGCATCAGATGTTATGCCTGCCACACTGCAAGCCATGTCCCTTAAAGAAAAAAGATATTGATCTGTAAGCAGCCAAGACATTTGTGAGGAGAGCTACAAGTATTAAAAAAGCACAGAGTTCTATTAGATATTTACTACACTTGCTTCACAGCAGCTACTTCCTTCAGAAAAATCCTACAAAAGTTTTATTTTTGTAGGAGACACTTACTTGATGTCATTCAACATCAAAGATCAACCAATGCACCCTTAAGTTCTAGAGTAGATGTATTTATCATTACCACCCAGTAAATAGGGTAACAGAATCAACGCTAAGAAGCTAAAGTAAATCTCAAGATTTAGCAACAAAGAATAAAAAGACAAGCCAGCCACAGTGGCTCACGTCTGTCATCCCAGCACTTTGGGAGGCTGAGGTAGATGGAGGGCTTGTGCCCAGGAGTTTGAGAACAGCCAGGGCAACATGGCGAAGTCTCATCTTAACAAAAAATAAAGGGGCTGGGCACGGTGGCTCACGCCTGTAATCCAAGCCCTTTGGAGGCCAAGGTGGGTGGATCATCTAAGGTTGGGAGTCCAAGACCAGCCTGACCAACATCGTCAAACCCCGTCTTTAAAAAATAAAATAAAAAATAAAAAAATAACTGGGTGTGCACCTATAGTCCCAGCTACTTGGGAGGCTGAGGTGGCAGGACCACTTGAGCCCAGGAGGCAGAGGTTGCAGTGAGCCAAGATGGCATCACTGTACTCCACCCTGGGTGACAGACCAAGAATCTGTCTCGGGAAAAAAGATTGTGCTAGACAGACAGACTGCTCTTGAGTACTATCCATTTCCTAAGGCCTGGCTTGACAGAGGTGACAGAGGACAATGACAGGAGGGTTTAAAGCCTGTCTACAGAACACAGGGTTTTCCTCCTATTAGAGGTGTATTTCCCTTTTTTTTAAGACGGGGTTTCACCATGTTGGTCAGGCTGGTCTTGAACTCCCGACCTCGGGTGATCTGCCCGCCTTGGCCTCCAAAGTGTTTGGATTACAGGCGTGAGCCACCACGCCTGGCCGTATTTCCCCTGCCCCCCCTTTTTTTTGCTCATTTCCTGAGGGTTGCCCTGGCTTTCTTATAGCCAAGACTTGTGCTGTGACTATGCCTAGCCATGCCTGCTAGCTGTTGAGTGGGCCCATCAGAGGCTCTGTGGAGGGGTGACACCACTTTGAACAAATGAATCAAAAGGCCCTGATAATCAGCATTTACCAAGCCCATCACTGAAGCAAAAGGCTCTAATTAGCATAGCCAGCTCTCCATGAGCTGCACAGTTAAATTCTCACAAAGTGTACAAGGCTTGGCTAAATTCTTCCCAGACCTCCAGGAGGCTTGTTCTTTAGTAAGATTCAGTATAGTGCAACAAAATCCTGCATAGCTATTCTAAACAATACTTTGAGGACCTACTATATGCCAAGCACTATACTATTGTATTTCATTAAACTGCCGCAACCACTTTAGGAGGCTCTGAGGCCCAAAGAAATAACTGGTGCAAGGTCACACAGCCTGTATGGGTGAGGTCTGGACTTGAACCCAAATCTCTGTGACTAAGTCTGTACTTTTATCATTACACAATGCTGGCTTCTCCACTAAGTGTTTGCTCTGCACTTAAAAGGAGTGACACCTGGTACCAGGCCTCAAAGAAGTTTCTTGTGCCTCAGCCTCCTGAGTAGCTGGGATTACAGGTTTGTATTAACACATCCAGGTAATTTTTGTATTTTTAGTAGAGACAGTTCCGCCATGTTGGTCAGGCTGGTCTCAAACTCCTGACCTCAGGTGATCTGCCTGCTTCCCCCTCCCACTGCTGGGATTACGGGCACAAGCCACCATGTCTGGCCTAATTTTTAAAAGTTTTTTGTAGAGACGGGAGGTCTTACTGTTGCTCAGGCTGGTCTTGAACTCCTGGTCTCAGGTGATCCTCCCACCATGGCATCCCAAAGCGCTGGGAAGACACGCATGAGCCACCATGCCCGGCCCCGACAGGCAAGCCCTACCTCCAACCTGTCCCGCTCCCCACCACTGAGCACAGGTCTGGGGCTTTGCCATCAGTTCTGCCCCCTGAAGAATCTGGAAGGAAAATATTGACACAACCAACTCCTACCTAGACAGAAGGAGCCCCAGCTGGATGACAGCATTGCTGGTGCGCAGGAGCCAGGATATGGCTCCTGCTGCCGTGTTGGGAACATGAGTGTTTGCCACATAATGAGATACTCAACACGGCTGCTGGGGCCACATGGTGGATGGAGCCACCCACTCACCATATCTGCTGTTAAACAGGATCTGCACACACTCCTGGAGCGTGTTAATGTCTTCGGTTTCCTTTATGAAAGCGTCCCACTTCTACATCAAAACACAGGAGGCACAAGTGAGCAGGGCCTTCTAGGCTGGTGGCATGCCCTCCACTAGCTGCAACCCCTGGCCTTTCACCTCCAGAGCCCCCGAGGCAAGCCCCAGCCCCGAGCCCTTCCACCCTCTCCCACCTCATGTATGCTCTCAGGGAGTGTACCTGAAGTCAGGGTGTTCTGATGCTGCCCCGTCTGCCCTCTCCTCTTGCCCTGACATTTACCTCTGGCCTCTCGCATGAGTGTGGTGTCGGTGCTGGCTCAGCCTGTCCATCCAGAGTTCATCCTACCCCAGACATACAGGCTGGAAGAGCAGTCCTCGCAGCAGAAAAAGAGGTCAAGTCTCTTTTTATTTTTTTGAGACGGAACTCAGTCTGTCACCCAGGCTGGAGTGGTGTGATCTTGGCTCACTACAACCTCCATCTCTAGGGTTCACAAGTGATTCTCCTACCTCGCCCCCACGAGTAGCTGGGATTACAGGTGAGTGCCACTACACCAGGCTAATTTTTGAATGTTTAGTAGAGATGGGGTCTCACCATGTTGGCCAAGCTAATCTCAAACTCCTGACTTCAAGCAATACATCTGCCTTGGCTTCCCAAAGTCCTGAGATTACAGGTGTGAGCCACTGTGCCCGGCCACATCCACACCTTTCTGGGCTGTTAAACAAACACTGCCATGACCAATCTATGTCCCCATTTTCTGCTCTGCCAGGAGGAGAGAGAATAGGCACCCCCCACCCCTGCTCCAAGGAGGCTGTGGGTTGCAGTCAGGGGGTTCATGCCAGGCTGATTGCAGACCAGGATGGGGACCTGAGAGTACTGGTGGATCCTTGGGGAATGTGCTAGAAGCTGCATTGGAAAGGAAATGAGATGAGGGGCCTGTGGCTCCCCTCCCAGCTTGGAGCCAGTTCTCTGGTATCTGCAGAGCTTGAAATAAACCAGCAAAGTTCCTGATGCTATAAATAGCAGCTCTGCCTGGCTCCAGAAGCCAGGTCCACTGCCCCATGCCCTGGAAGCCTGGGGCCACAGGACCTCTGCTGTCCACTCTACCCAGCCCCCAGTCCCCCATCCTGGCCTGGGAGAGGGTCTAGGCTCTGAGGGCTGAGTGGGGCTGGCTGGGGGCATGGCTGCACCCCAATAATGATAGGCCCAGAGCTGGGGGATGCCCTTCCCTGAAACAGCTGATCTTAGGGATGTGATAGGAATACTAACAGCAACAAGAGCTGGTGTCCACTGAATGTGAACCAAGTGCCAGACACGGCCCTAAGTGCTTGCCAGGTACGAATTCGTTTAACCCTCAGACCCACCCGTTCTCCCCTTTCACAGATGAGCACATTGAGGCACAGCAGGTGTGGACCCAGGCGGCCCGTTCCTTTTTTATTTTTTGAGACAGAGTCTCACTTTGTCGCCCAGGCTGGAGTGCAGTGGCTCAATCTCTGACCACTACAGCCTCCACCTCCAGGGTTCAAGTGATTCTCCTGCCTCAGCTTCCAAGTAGCTGAGTTTACAGACACATGCGTGGCTAATTTTTTTGTATTATATTTAGAGATGAGGTTTCACCATATTGGCCCAGCTGGTCTCAAACTCCTGACCTCATGACCTGCCTGCCTTGGCCTCCCAAAGTGCTGTGATTACAGGTGTAAGCCACACTGGGCCCAGCCACTGCCCACTCTCTTAAGTTCATGCTATACCATGGTTCTTTTGAGATGGGGTCTCACTGTCACCCAGACTGGAGTGCATGGTGTCATCATATCTCACTGCAGCCTTGAACTCCCAGGCTCAAGTGACCCT